AAAAAAAAAAGAGAGAGAAGTTTTTTTCTCATATGGTAACTCATTATTCAAAGGTTTCTTATACAATAGCCTCAAGCTAGAAAGCCTTTTCCCAGTTACCTTAGAAGAAAAGCCCTCAAAAACTCCCTTTTATAATAACCTACACTTTCAACAACTTCAAACATGAAACAAAGGGAGAAAAATGAAGACAACAGATAACATAACTCATCCTAACATCATTCTTCCCCTTCTTCATTAGACTACATATCTATTTTTTTTTTCGCCTTTGTAAACGACGCGGAAGCAGCATTACCGAGCAAAGTTCGCATGTAACGAAAACCCACGAGAAAGGTGCAAATTAGAAGGCGATCGTTCGTGACCTGTGGATGATCCATTAGCCCCTTGGAATGAAGGCATTTTGGTAGTATTATTCGCACTTTCAGTCGTTTTCCAAGAACCAAAATGAACGGGATAACCCCACGTTTGGCACCCGAATCCCCCAACATCTTCCAAATTCTCATGATATGTTGTTTTGAAAACCGAGCTTGATCGTCCTTCGGGTAAATGATTGGTGGTAATGGTAGGTTGAGGGACAAAATGGGGACTTCTTTCAAATCCAGGGCTAATTTGCCTCGGTTGATGATGATCAAGGAACTCGAAAGATGATCTCAACCCTTCATTAGAATTAATCCTACTCGAAATCATGACCCTTGATGGATTCGCCATGAAATTGGGATGAAAACGCGAATAGTCCAAAAATGGAGGACCTACAACACATGAGTTGTTATGATAGGAAGGTGGTGGACAATCGTCATTCTGAATACCGCCCGATGACTGTAAATTTCGAAAATCGTTACAAGCCAAATTTTCCTCTCGATTCACCACCATTAAGTTCTTTCCCATCAATCTAAGGACAGGATTAGTAGTAGCTGATGGAACTGGAATTGCCGAATTTGCTCTTGGCCAATCGATTTTTGGCTTGTCCAATGCAGGATGATCATTTTCAAACAGAAAGGGCCTTTCGACTACAGGATTAATGGAACTCGATACGAATGACTTGTTAGAACTCGGAGAATCAGATCGAGGCCTGTCGTGTTCGGGAGAATGTGCCCTAAAACTGGTCAAAGAGGAACTTCCTTGGAGTTCTTCCGAGCCCATACGTCCCGGACTCGGTATGAACGAGCCCGGTGGACCCGGTATGGGTATGGGATCAACATCAATAAAATAATTGCCTTGTTGGTCAAATTTGTCCGAACATAACATTTCTTGTTCGCGTTCTTCATGCACCAAAGATTCTTCGCCGAATGCTGCTATGACGGGCGGTACTTCCAAAATTGGCTCACGAACTAGTTCATCTCGAATTTCAATGGCCTCTATAGCAACAGGTGAGCAAGCCGGAGTAGTGTCTGTTAAAGAGGAATTAATATCCTGCTCGGCCACACGGCTATTGGGTTCTGAATACTCGTACAAGTCCATGTCCTTTCGACTCAAGTTCAAGAATCCCCGTTTTTCTTTGCGGATTTTCGAAACCCCAAATGGATTGATCGATAAATTTCGAGAATCGCTTTCTGCTTGCTGCACATGAATTTCGGACGTGAAATGCAGCCTTGGCTTCTTGAAGGCAAATTTCTTTTTCCGCAAAATTTTTCGTGATTCTGAAAGGGAAATATGGTTCATAGACGATGGGTTCTTCTTGTTCAAAGGCGACATTAACTTTTGACGTTCGAATGTCGAACTTATTATAATTCTCCTCATTTTCTTGTTCCTCCGGAAAGCAGCAGCACCGTTTTCAGCGCCGCTAAAAGATGAAGGTTCGCTTTCTTTTACCCCCTTGAAATCATTGCTCTCAAGGTTCTGCATAACCGTATGATGATATTGCTTGTTTCCGTCATTTCGAAAGTCCCGAGGGACAAACGAGAAAAATCCCGCTCGATTAATCTGACAAGGCATATATTCGGCGGCCGATTTCGAATCCGTGCTTTCCTTACTCTTGAGAGTCTGATCGGTATCTGAATCTGAATTATCATCATCGCATGAAATCGAGAATCTCGAGTCATTAGTTCTTTTCGTGAGCTTCTCATCTACAGAAAGTAGATCGTGACTACTCATTCTCGGTTTCTTTGTGATTTTGTTCTCTTCAAGACCAGTTCTTTTCGAGCATGCCCAATGTTTAGTTAATATTTCAGAACCATTGGTTTTCATATGATGGCCACGTGCATCGAGAAGCCGTGCTGGGAGTTCTTTCTCATTTTTCTGGGTATAGTTAACCTGTTCGAACAGCGCACAGTTAAAAAGTTCGGTCATACATACAAACACACAAAATGGAAGGAAAAATAGAAGGCGGCGAAAAGAAGAAGAAGATGCAATGCAATTAATGCAGTTTATGTAATTCATGTAATCAATATACTATCAAACTAGACATTACCTCTGGACAACGTTCGAGCCTGGGAGAAAATCGTCTTTTTACAAAAAGAGGATGTTTTAAGAGCTTAGATCTCTGAGCAAGATGCTTCTTTTTCTTGCCTGGAACAATTTCGCTTTCTTTATCTTTATCTCTGTGGCTAAGGAGCTTCCTCGTTCCACACTCAGCTTCTTCCTCATTCGTATAATTCGATTTCGAATCAGTAAACCTCGAAAGAATCCGTAGCTTAGTGCCATGGGAATCAAAGTACACGTCACCACCTGCTTCACTCTTCTTGTCCTCACCATTAGTTGAGAAAGACGCATTATTAGTATTACTGTTAACGTTATTCTCCGACTCTTGCGGTGAAAACCCACCATTCGAAGCCCAGTTAGTCCCATTTCTTCTATCGAGATCTTCCAAAGTACAAGAAAGAGCCGTTTCATAAATATCAACCATCAATCGAGTCTTTCTTGGCTTTATTCTATGCTTCACCACTCTCGAATTTGCCACCCATTTAGTATTTGACTCCTCCGACAAACACTGATCGATATGAGCATTCAGAGTCGTGTTTGAAGATGATGCGAACGTTTTGCAAACCGGGCACACTTTCGAACCCATTGTTGTGTTTTCCAACAAATCGGCTTCGTTCGACTTTTGTTCAGTAAAAGTGTTGTTTCCCAATTTCACGATCAATCTGCACGTCTTTGCAGGTGCATTTGACTTGATGGCCCGATTAGTGTCCGAAGCTATTAGATTTAGGCATGCATTTTTATTTGCCACGGAATGAAGATGAGCATTCAACTCAGATAACTTCACAGAAGAACGAAGGCTTGTGTTGCGATCGGCATTTTTTACGGCCGGTGATTGGTTTATTCTCACCGATTCAAGAGTTTCGAAAGGCGGCAATACATCCTTCACGCCGTGTTTTAGGCAAAGTTTTAGATTTTTCGAGGAAAACGGCCAGTGGGTCTCGATATCTTTTGCCCGTGTACTGAAAACATAATCTCTGCAGGAAAACTAACATCAAAAGATCTGCCAAATTCAAGAAAGACATGCTTTTGTTTTCTGAAAAAAAAAAAAAAAATCTTAAAAGATTTGCACCCCATGAAACAAAAGTTGCAGCATTTGGCAGAGGATTATCATACCAAGATGATGTGATGAAAACAAAACAACAATATGGAAAATTTTTCAAAAAATTTGCATTTTTTTTCTGATCCCACAATAATTAGCTTGCATAAAATAAGAGTAGGACACCCAAAAATAGATGGTCAGCACAAAAACTGGAAAGACAACAGCTTTATTCACACATGTAGAAGACCCTCCAAATCCTGCTATCAAATAAGAATCACTTAACAGGAAAATTAGCAGAAAAAAAAAAAATTATAACTATTTTACCCCAAAGAGAGAGAGAGAGAGAGAGAGAGAGAGAGAAGGAAAAATCTCAAGTAAAACCAAGAACAAATAAACAGACACAAATCACTTAGATCTGACCAAACCAACTAAGAAAAGCCCAGCAGATAAGATGAAGAAAAAAGTTTGTATATGAAGACACAAGAAAACTAATAAATACACATAAAAAAAAGAAGTTGAAAAGTCATTACCTTATGGAGAACTTAGGAACTGTTTGGTTAATGTCTTCAAGGCCTGATTGGAACAGATCTACCTTATTACCATTATCAAAAGACCTCTCATCATCATCATCATCACTGGTAATAATAAAATTTTTGCAGCTACTTTTCAGCTGTGGAGTAGTTTCAGAAGGACCGGGTGGAGGAGATTTTTCAGTGGATAGCATCTGCTGATACACTTTTTTTCTTCTTCCTTGTGCTGTCTGTCTGGATAACAACAACAGTCACAAGAAGAGCTCAAAAAAATATCAGCTTTCTCCAAACAAGGCCTTGACTTGTGACACTTAGCCTTCAGCATAACAGTAGCCTAAGGAGGCCTCCCCTCAAGAAAAAAGAAAATTGCCCAAAAGTCTCAAAGCTAAAAAATATATATATAAATAAAAAAACCCAACTAAAAGATCGGAGCTTTATTCATATATTCATCATCCCTGCAAAGAAAAATGTAGAAAAAAATATGTTATTATTGGACCAAGAAATTTTTTGAAGGGAGAGAAAAAAAAAGAAGAGACCCATAAATGCTTTGGGACAACAAATAGTAGATTGTAGACCCCTCAAGAATTGTTTTTTTTTTTTATTTTTTTAGACAAGTTAGGAATGAGTGATTATGAAGTGTTTAATTTGCTCTTGTTTGATCATTTGATATAGAATTCTTGGCTGAGGAAAAGGAGGGTATTAGTCATGATCAAAAACCCTTATCAAAGTGTTATTTTATGTGGGCAAACCAAGACAAAATACATAATTTTGATGAAGCCCTTTTGAGATGGGGAACAACTAAGCACTTGCACATTTTGAGAAACTATTCAAACAAGGTAAAATCTAGTTCAAAAATTCAAGATAAGAAGAGGTTATGGATGGAATTAATTTGCTGATTAAAAAAAAAACAAGAAAAGGATCTGGGCTTGTGTTGTGTCATGAGTATGGCTTCATAAATAAAA